ACTACGAGCATGCTGAGAGCAACTGGGATATACTGGGAGTGTCTGTGACCTTACTGGAGTGACTGGAACCACACTGGGAACAGCTGGGACCATGCTGGGGAGAACTGGGACCATACTGGGGGATACTGGGAATCAGTGGGAGCTACTACTCTATACTGGGGGCAACTGGGCATGACTGGGACCATGCTGGGAGGGACTGGGATCATCTATGGAGTGACTGGGACTATGCTAGGGGCAACTGGGAGCAACTTGGATCACACTCGGTGGAACTGGGAGCAATTGGAACCATGCTCAGAAGGACTGGGATCATACTGGCAGCAACTGGGACTGCACTGAGGGTGACTGGGAGAGGCTGTGAGCAACTGGGATCAGTCTGGAAGCAGCTGAGGACAATTAGGATACACTGGGAGAGACTGAAACCACAGTGAGGGGAACTGGGAGCAACTGGAAGCACACCTGATGATAATGGGAGCAGCTTTGCCCACGCCAGAGTCATACTGGGATCATACTTGAACTAGCTGGAATCATACTGGGAGTGACTGGAATAGTACTGGGAATATCCAAGAATGACTGGGATCATACTGCAAGCAGACTGGGAGTGACAGGAAAAGTGCTGGCCACAACTGGAACCATAGTGGGAGTGACCGGGAGTGACTGGGCTCATAGTGGATATGACTGCAACCATACTAGGGGGGGACTGGGTGCAAGAGATCATACTGGGAGAGACTGGAACCATACTGGGAGTGACTATGGGTCCTACTGGGGTCATCCTGGGAGCCACTGGGATTACAGGGAGTAGGAATGGAACCTGACTGGCCGTTACTGGGAGCTACTGAGCCCATGCTGGGAGGAAAATGTGGACCCATTGGGAGGAACTGGGATCAAATGGAAGGTACTGGAATCATGCTGAGGGGACTGAGGCCATAACAGGGATCATACTGGGAGCAACTGGGAGTATGGGCAACTGAGAGAAATTGGGATAAGGCTGGAGACAACTGTGAGTAACTGGGAAAGACTGGAATCATTCTGAGTGAACTAGAACCTTACTGGGATAACTGGGATATAATGGGAGTGACTGTAACCGTACTGGGGGGACTGGAACCACACTGGGGGACACTGGGAGATAGTGGTACAATGCTGAGAGAGACTGGGGCTATTCTAGAGATCATCCTGGTAGGAACTGGGAGCAACTGGAACTATTCTGGCAGCAACTGGGATCATACTGGGATCAGAGGGTACATGATGGATGAGACTGGGATCACATCAAGAGTGACTGGAATCATACTGGGATTGGCTGTGAAGAACCGGAATCATGCTGAAAGCAGCTGGGAAGAAGTGAGAGTGACTGGCACCATGCTGACAGTGACTGGAAGATACTGGGAGAGACTGGTAGTCCCAGAGATTATACTGGAGGCTACAGGGGTCATGCTGGCAGAGAGCAACTGGGATCACACTGGGGGCCACTGGCATCAGACTGGGAGTGACTGGAATTAGACTGCAAGTGACGGGGATCATACTGGGAGTGTCTACAGTCATACTGGGATAAGAGTGGGTGTGACTGGACCCTGACTGGGGGCTACTGGGAGCTACCGGGCCCATGCTGGAAGCATACTGCACACACACTGGGAGGAACTGGGATCAAACTGGGGACAAGTGAACCATGCTGAGGCAACTAGGAGGGCCTGGGAAGGACTGTGAGATTGTTCAGGGCAACTGGGATATCCTGGCCATGTCTCAGGCCATAGGAATGGTGACTGGGACCAACTGCGAACGTTCTGGGGGGAAAACTGGAACCATGCTGGGGCAACTGGGGGCAAGTGCGAGTGACTGGGGTCCAGCTGGCAGAGACTGGCATCAGACTGGATTCATACTGAAATCACACAGGGAGTGACTGGGACTGTGCTAGGAGCAACTGGGAGAATTGGGAACACACTGGAGCAAAGTGGGAGGAACTGGGACCAAGCCGGGGGCAATTACATCATAATAGGGAATGACAGGGAATGACTGGGCCCATCCTGGGAGTGTGGAGGAAATTGGAACCACACGGGGGGAGCAACTGGGCTCATACTGGGAGCAGCCACTCCCGGCTCCCGCACCCCCGAACCCCTTTCCCGGCCATGCCGCCCCTCCAGCCCCAGCACCCCCCGCCGGGGTCCCGGCAATCCCAGGGGTCCCCCCCTCTCGGGCTCCCCGCTTTGCCCTTCTGGGGCTCTCCTGTCTCTGGGCTCCCGCTCAGGGAAGCCGCGGCTCTCCCGGGGCTCCCCCAAACCGGTGTCCCCCCGCCGATCCCGCCGCTCCCGCGCGCTCCCCACCTGGCCCCGGCACAGCTCGCAGGGCCCGGCCCGGGAAGCCCAACCCCCACCGCGGGGGGACCCGCATCCCCCCGGGCCCCGCCGGGGCTCTGCCGGCACCCACCGGGACCCCCAAAAACACCTCCCGGGGACCCCCCGATGTCCCCCCGAGGGCCATCTGCGCCTCTGCAGCCCTGCAACATCCAAACATCCCCTCCAAAATAACCCCAAACCCAGGGACACCCCCGGGATATTCGGGGCGAGCTCCCCCTCCCCGGGCAGCTGCGGGATGGGGGGCGATGGTCCCGGGGGGCTGCGAGTTCAGGGAGCTCCGGGGCCCCGCGCTTGATTCGCTCCTTCTCTGCTCCTGCTTCCTGCTGCCGCTCCGCCTCTCCCTCCCTCCCTCCTCCTCCTCCCCCGTTCCGAGCCCCGAACTGGGAGGGGATGGGGCAAGGAAAGGGCGGGAACTGTGAGGGGAAAGGGGCGGGGCCAAGGAAAGGGCGGGAACTGTGAGGGGAAAGGGGCGGGGCCAAAGAAAGGGCGGGAACTGTGAGGGGAAAGGGGCGGGGCCAAAGGCGGGAACTGTGAGGGAAAGGGGCGGGACCAAAGCGCCACACGGTCCTTAAAAGGGCCTGATTTGGCCCAAAATCACCAAAACATGCCCTCAAATGCAGAGTAAATCTACCAGGTTTGGCCTAAAATCAGCCATGGGGGCCTCAAATCCACACAAAGAGGTCTAAAATCATCCAAATAGGCCTAACATTGACCAAAGGGGCCTAAAATCCAGCCTAAAACTGCCCAGTTTGGTATAAAATCACCCAGACAGGCCTCATATATTTGGGACCGAGACTGAGAACGAAACGGGTACCAGAATCAGAACAGGCACCAGCATCAAGAATGAGACTGAAATCAGAATGGAGACCAAGGCCAAGCCTGTGAACAGAACCGGCATCAGAACCAAGGCCAGCAGCACTCCTGAACTGGCAATGGGACCAAGACTGAAATCCGACACTGGGACTGGCACGAGGAAAGCTCCAGGACTGCTCTGGGACCAGGACTGGCACTGTGAGAACTCCAGAATAGAGTCTGAGAATGGCACTGGCACCAGAATCGGGACTGACACTGGGACTGCTCCGGGATCGAGATTGGCACCGGGACGGGAATCAGCACCAGAACTGCTCTGAGACTGAGATTTGAGACCGAGGCTGACAGCAGGACTGGGATGGGCACCGAGAGTGGTCTGGAACCTCCACGTTCATTCTGGGGAGTTTTAGCTGCACCCCCACACAGGACTGGGAGGGACCCCTGGGTGGGGCAGGACCGCCTCGGTTCCCATCATTCTGGTGCAGCCATCCCAGTCCATATGGTCCCAGTCCATGTGATCCCAGTTTGTACAATCCCAGCCCATGTGATCCCAGTCTGTACAATCCCAGTCTGGATGGCCCTGATCCATCTGGTCCCAGTCTGTGCAGTCCCAGTCTGGAGGATCCCAGTCCATGTGATCCCAGCCCCATGATCCCAGTCTGCATGGTCCTGCATGGCTCACACTGCCAAGGTCTAGAATTCCAGTTCCCAGCCAGGAAATGATGTTCCTGCCTGTACTGGTATGGGTTCAGCAATTTGAGATTTCCCAGCCAACACACCCATTTATGTCGTGGCTTTAGCTTCCCAATCCTATTCCTGTTCCTATTCCCAATCCTGTTCCTGATCCCAATACCCTTCCTATTCCCATTCTCAGATCCTGATCCTATTCCTGTTCTCGATGCTTATCTCATTCCCATTCCCAATCGCAATCTCCTTCCCACTCTTGATCCCATTCCTGTTCTCAGTCTCATTCCTGTTCCCATTATGGATCCCTATCCTGTTCCTGACCCTGATCCTGTGCCCATTCTCAATCGCAATCTCGATCCTGTTTCAAATGCCTTTCTCCTTCCCGACCCTGCTGCTGTTTCCAGGGAATTGTTTTGGTCTCAACCTCCATCCCAAACCTGGGAGAGGTCAAGGACTCCCAAATCCTGGGCTCAAACACCCCTAAACGGGAAATTTGGGGTCAAACCCCCCCAAATCCCTAAATCCTGGGGTGTCAAACACCCCCAAACCCCAAAATTCTGGGGTCAATATCCCCAAATCCCAAATTCTGGGGTCAAAACGCCCAAATCTCAAACTCTGGGGTGTCAAAAAAAACCCCTGATCCCCAAATCCTGAGGTCTAAAACACCCCTGATCCCAAATTTTAGGATCAAACGCCCCCAGACCCCAAACTTTGGCATCAAACCCCTCCAGTCCCCAAACTGTTGAGTTGGAAATATTTGGGGGGGTCCAACCCCTCGATTCCAAAATTTGGAGTTAAACCCCCCTGATCCCCAAATTCTGGGGTGTCAAAACCCCCAAAATCCCAAATTTTAGAATCAAACCTTCCCCATCCCGAGACTTTGGAGTCAACCCCTCCAGACCCCAAAATCCCCCCAAAAACCACTCCAGCTCTGGGGGCACAGCAGGGCTCATTTGGGATTGATTTGGGGTTTATTTGGGATTTATCTCGGGTGAGGCAGCTCCAGGTGCAATGTCTGCAGAGAGACCCTGGGTACAATGCTGGGAAAAATCCC